GAATCTTTTTGGTGTTCAATGGGTGATGCCAAGCACTGTAAAGGAAATATTATATAGCTGGGCCGGTTTCCGTAGAAGAAGAAAGCAAAAGGCGTGTAAGTTCGCCCCGTTAGCTCTCATGTGGATAGTTTGGGGGAAGAGAAATAGGAGAGCTTTTGAGGGGATTGAGTCACCTTTTTCACATCTTAAGAATAGTCTTTTATCTTTGATCGCTTTTTGATGCACTCATATAGCCCCTACTTGTATAGAAGATTGAGCGTCTTTTGTAGAGAATCATGTTCTGATGTAAATTCTCTACTTTTTGGTATACTTTCTGTATACGGGAGTTCTCTCCCTTTTGATTAATACAATTTACCTTATGAAAAAAAAAAGTAATAATAACAATACTATTGAAAGTTCTCTACCAAGTCTAAAACCTATTCCCAACTAGTAGGTAGTACCTGTATGGATCTTTCTCTTCCATTGCGCCTTATTTTTAGCTAAGTTTGCGTTGATTCCAAGAAATAGTATAACAATACTATTGAAAGTCCTCTACCAAGTCTAAAACCTATTCCCAACTAGTAGGTATTACCTGTATGGATCTTTCTTTTCTATTGTGCCCTATCTTTAGCTAAGCCTGCATTGATTCCAAGAATTTGTAGGTCTTTCGAGATGACTTCCTTCCATGTAAGCCATCCAACCCATCTTTTTAATCCTTGCACCTGTATCCTTGCCCCCGAAACTTAAAATTTAGATCATGATGGATCCAACCTCTAGACCTGCATCCGTATCGGACACCTGCACCCCAGTCCGAGCAACTTAGTTCGTCACTATAGTTTCACACCTATGTATTGATGTATCTGTAGGTCGATGTAGGACATGACTGAACCATCTCAAGCGACCTTCTCTCATTTTATCCTCAATGTGTGCTACTTGCATCTCATTTTATCCTCAGTGTGTGCTTCTCTCATTATTCATACAGTGATATGAATAATGATGAAAATTGGCATAAAAGGTATTGAAGTGTGTGACCATCTCATCTAAATTACTTAATTATATTAAATCTCAACATGACCCCTCACGTGTAGGCCTGATCTTTTTATTTATGGGCCAAACACGTAGAAATTCTTTTTTATAATGGGTGACTGAGGCTCGAACCTAGGACCTCTTGCCTGCTTTGATACTATGTTGAAGTGTGTAGTTAGAGTGGGCACACCCATAATTACTGAAATATATTTAGTCTCAACTGTGGATACGAAGAAACCATTTGTAGAGGAGAGAATAAGGGTGTACAAGGGAGAGGAGCTGTTGTCTCTTTTGGTTGTTAGGGAGTTGAGATTTCTCTTTATTCTTGTGAAGATTAGGCTGAAGAATGAAGATGACGAGTGGCAGACTGAGTACTAAAAGATAATATCTCTCATTTATAGGTTGTTCAATGTTTGAGTTAAGGAACTATAAAAGTAGTTCTTTTAGCTCCAGTGGTGCCAAAATCCGGAAAAATAACTTATTCTTCAATAATCAGATGCAATGAATATGTACTTATTTTGCATACTATCTAGATATTCTAAACTCATGCCGTGAATGAATACAAGTTTTAGACCCCTGAATTTCCCCACAAATTAAGAAAATATCTAATAATAACGTAAAGTGGGAAAAAAGAGAAGAGTGGCTGGAAGCCTAGACAATCATTATCGATCAATCATCTCTCAGGAAGTAGAGCAAAATGAATCGTCTTTTGAATTCTCATTGTTGAAGGTGTAGAGAATCAATGAAGAAGCTTACTGATTTAATTGAAGGGAACTAAGACAATTAGCTTAGCTAGCATTCCAAAAAGAAAACTATCTCCGGAAAGCAAAATTTGCATTTGGGATCGGGTGGAGCCTTAAATCAATTGGAAAATAGCATAGCTATTATTGACTTGATGGTGACTCTTGTTCCCATGAATACAACCTCTTGTTCCCAGTTCTTGGATCTTTAGACTAATATTCTTTTGGAAGTTATTTTTGTTGATTGTGTTTAAATCTAACTGTATATCATACCGTTGAAGTGTTTTAGATGGAAAAGATATTTCAGTGTCGTTAGTCGAAGTGTTGAGTCTGCCAACTTGTCTGGCTTGGTTAGAACAGCTATGGGCCTATAGTTTCTGGTGCAGCTAGCAGGTCTTGAGCAACTATAAGATGGATATAGTTTTCAATTCTAGGTGCCTAATTGGACCAAAAATTTAACCACCAGGGCCATCTGAGTGTTAGAAACAGTAAGGGAAATTCTACCTGATTGGATACCTGGACATCTGAGCTTCTATCAATGCCCAACATGAAAATATAACCAGCAAGGAGAAACATCAGCAACCAGGAAGGATGTGATAATTTGCAAAACCTTCAACAATTAAGGCAATATAAATCACCTCAAACCCATATAAGTATACGGCGTGCTTGTGATTACTCTATCCCATAACAAAATCACAAGAGATGACCTAAACCATGAGTAATCAATCTGAATAAAACCTATATGAATGAGTCTCTTCAGCTCATTGTTAGCTTGTTATGTTGTTTTTGTAATATGTACTAGATCTGTTAGACACAATTGCTTTTATTGAACTTTAGATACTCCATACCACGACTTTCTTGGATTTTATATTCAGGCATTGTCTTTTGAACTTGGCTTTGCATTCCTTGATGTCATACTTTTTACACGTAGTGATTATTGTATGTACATCTTTTTTTCTTTTCTTTTTTTTAGGTTTGGATGGCTCAGATGCCGGCTTAGCAGCAGTTATAGAATCTTTGGGATTTTGTATGAAGCTTTGTTGTTCTGAAGCTTCTATATTGGAAGACTTGGAAAAGGCAATCAACTTGGTTCACACACGACGAGATCTTGTTGAAAGTGGTCGTGCGTTATTAGATCATGCTTACAAGGCACAAAATGAGTATGAAAGGTGCGGCAAAGGTCATGCATCAATTTTTCCTTTTGTTTTCTTTGTCGAATCCTTGCTTATTTGCAATGCACAAGTTTTTTTAATGCTTATTCAAACCAGAAACCAGGTGCCTTTACAAAAGATTGAACTCTAGTGCCTGGAATATTGTATTTCATTGTTGGACATTTGGCTTGACCAATATAGGTTGATTGGTTTTATTACCTGTGCTTTGTAGGACGACAAACTACTGCTTAAATCTGGCTGCTGACCAAGAGAAGACAGCGACTGAGAATTGGCTACATGAATTGGATGTAGCTATTGATAATGCTAAACACTGCCTTGACGAGGAATGCAAGTATGTTCGGGGCCTGGTGAGTAATTTTTGTCGCTATGTATTTGTTTACCAGTTTGTTGAAGTAACATCTTATAGGTATCTTAGAACTTAGTTGGATAAAATGATGGAATTACACATTTCTTTCGGTCTTATATGTTCAATCTATTTAATACTTTGAGATGGGCTGTGTCAATAACCATCTTGTATTACATGCTGTCAATTATCTATCCAGATACAGACATGGTCCGTGAGAGTGTCCAAAAAGAATGTAGGACACGCCACAAAAGACTTACTTTTTTTAATGAAGAAAAGACTATATTTTATTTAATTAAGTGTATTTTGTAAATCATTTTCTTTGATATTTATCATTTCATGTCAGCCAAATGAAATCTTTACATGTATGCTAGATTGACCCTCCGTGGATGAATTTCCAAGATCTTTCTGCATGATTGCATGAACAGAAAGTACTTCATGTGAAGTGCCAAGTACCCATATGTGGGAAACAATTGAGTTACCTTAATTGATCCAAAGATTGTGTTTTGAATTTGTTTGGTGTTGGCAGAAAGCCAATTCTTCATGCTTCAGTTTTGTTAATTCAAAAAGGGGGAAAGCAAAAATAAGGGTCTAACTTCGGAGAAAAAAGGAATTCAAGCTCTTTAACCAAGATATCTTGATGATGCTGTTATGTCTTTTTTTTTATTTCCTTTCTCACATACTCATCTTTGTTCTGTTCTGGGAAGTTTACTTTTTATGAAATGTGATATTGTGGAATCTTTTACAGGTAGATGAATGGTGGGAACAACCAGCATCGACTGTAGTTGACTGGGTTACTGTTGATGGACAAAATGTTGCTGCATGGTGTAATGATGTGAAGCAGCTTAAGGCATTTCATGATCAGCAACTTTGTTGAATTCGATTTTTTAGCAGCTGTTACACAATGTCTGTAAATTTTCCTTTTCTCGCTTGCTAGTTCTCTGCAACTTCTTGGGGTTTTGGTATTTGTCGATGTTTCTTGCAGCAGCAGCGACAAAGCAGGTCACCTGCAAACCTAGGCGGCAGTTGTTGAAGAACAATTGAGACTTCAACCTAGACCTAGGGACTGTAAGAAATTTTGAGCCAACACTAGTCCCGGAGAGGGGGGGGGGGGGGGGGGGGGGGGAATTTGTTCGAGGTTGAAATGTAGGTCGAGTGCAATATCTTGTTGCATTTCTCATTTTGTACAGAAATTCTTGTGTTATTTTGAAAAAGAAAAGAAAGAACAGCTTACGTATGGAAATCTCAAGGACCTAGTTATAAAGTAGGTGGTCAGCATGTTACAGTATTTGAGCCTCGTTATATTTTCCTGTAACACGTTCTGATTGATGAGACAAATCATTCAAGCTTCTATGCTTGGTTTAGATTTTAGTTTTCTTCCTTGTATGGCTTAGTAGTGGTACGTTTCTTAAAGAATTTGGTAACTGAACCAAATTATAAGATAGAAGCTGCAGATTTTGAAGTTTGAAGTGTATCTATTAGTCGAATGATGGGCAGACATACTAATTGCAATGATAACGTTGTCCAACATGGAATATATTTTCGAAGGGTTAAAAGTCTCTACATTTAGCTTTCGAGTTTTGTATTTTTATAATTGTATTGGAAGATAGATATAGATATAGATATAGATGAGTACTTAATTTTGCCTGATTTTGCGACATCTACCACAATAACTGTTATTGGTTCTAAGAAGCTTAAAGGATTTCACATGAATGCAGAACCAGACTTGCGGGGAATTCTTTTTTTATTTTCAGTTTAGATAGGGGTAAATTTCCTAACTGTAAAAATACAAATAAGCAACAATCTCGTGGCCTCTACCAGCTTAAAAGTTGGATAACCGAAACCCATACTATTTTGTAGGTCTATTCTATTATGTATAATATAGTTTTTGGACGAAAGGATCAATTGAACTCCTTCGAACCATGTAGCGCCCCCTTGTGCAGGGGCGGATCCATCCTTACAGTACCGAGTTCATTTGAACCTAGTATTTTCGACGTGAACATAAATTTATGTATAAAAATTCAATAAAATTATAACAAATATTAAATATGAAACTTCAAAAATATATTGGGTTTAATATAAAATCTTAAAAGTCAGAATTTAAATCCTGAATCCGCAAATGCCTGTGTACAAACAAATTGGACCAACCGTATCATAATTTCATAATATCAAGAATTTTGTAAGTCCTACAGAGGTCTCGTGAACCAACAAGGACCCACTGTCTTCTCTTGGTAATTCTCATTCTTTACCAACTGAAAAAGAAAGAAAGAAGCAAACTCATTAAATTAAAAATGACAAGAAAAAAGATAAAGTGAAGCAAGTTGACATAATTCCAATCTGTATTCTTGTCTTTGTTTGGTGGCAGCAAGGTGAAACTACTATTGCAACTTTGCACTTCACAAGTTTTGCATGAGCAGATAAAGAGGATTTGGGCAAACATCCATTATCAAATTATGTTTTAACTGTCCATATTCTACTGTATAAATCTCCCACACCAACAACATCCCCAGTATATAATCTTATTACTAGCTAGGTAGCCAAGCAATGACTCATGAGAGTTGAAGTCTTCATTTTTGTGCTCTTGAAAAGCTACAGCTTTGTACAATCTAAAAGATGATAAACAAGAGAATATCTTGGTTTTGGATTATACTCCACTTACTTAACCTTTCAGTTTCACAGGCTAGGCCTATTTCCAGACATCACCTAACTGCTGTTGTTATAGGGACTGTGCTCTGTGATGCTTGCTACCTACAAGATTTTTCAAAGGCTAGTCACTTCATTCCAGGTTCATTATCCTTGTCACCTTTTTTTATAATAGTATATTTATCGTAAATACATTGTAAAGAATTTTACACTTTAACATATCATAGTAGGTAACGTGCCTTATTTTCCAGGTTATTCATCCTACTTTTTGTGGACAGTTACGTGTACCTAGTTATCCTTCACGTAGAGTAAATTATTTTACACTGTTAGTATATGCTTTCTTTCTTTGGAGACTTCTAAACTTTTAATGCATGTTTCTGCTTTTAGGAGCTATTGTTGCAGTAGAATGTGCAAATTCAGGTAAAAGGTCAAGTTTTTACCAGGAAGTGAAGACAAATAAGCATGGAAAATTCAGTGTACACCTTCCTTTCTTGGTGGACAAATATGTCAAGCAAATTAAAGGATGTTCGGTTAAGCTGATCAGCAGCAGCAAGCCACATTGTGCTGTGGCATCACCAGCAACTTCATCTTCCTTCCAACTCCGCTCGAGGAAAAAAGGGATACATATTTTCTCTAATGGATTCTTCACTTTCAAACCTGTCAACCAACCAAAGCTCTGCAACCAAAAGCCAAGTAGCCATAGTACCTACAACAAAGAAGTATATCTGGAGAATTCTTTAACTTCAACTCCTAATGATCCCACATTTTCTCAACCAATTCACGGTACACCATCAAGTTTTACTACCATAAAACAAGGATTGCTTCCACCTCTTCCAAGATTGCCTCCTCTGCCGGAGCTCCCTCCTCTACCACCTCTTCCATTATTTCCACCAATTTTTCGTCCACCTCCAACGTCTCCACCTTCAACATTTCCTCCATTTATTCCACCACCTCTACCAGTTTTAACTCCTCTTTCACCTCCAATGTCTCCACCTTCAATATTTCCTCCAATTATCACAACACCTATACCAGGTTTAACTCCATTACCACCACCACCTCCGCCACCAACATTCCCTCTCCCTCCGTTCCCATTCCATCCCATACCTGGCTTCCCTGGAGTTCCTCCTGCTACCACTTTATCTCCAGAGAAAAAGAACTCTCCTTAGTCCAAACACAAATATAAAAACACCTGCAAATAGCTAGTAGTTTACATCAAACACTATGTATAACTCTCAATCATTCTCTTGGGTTCAAGGCTGAATAAAGAAACAAAGGAGATATATTGAAGACTTGGTGATAAAGCAATAAAAAACATTAAGCTGGCGTTCTAAAAGACCTTTTTCTTGTTACTTCCTCTTCATGTTTGTAGGTTTGTTGTTTAGAAAGCATATAAGATGGGATATGGCAAAGTGATTGTATAATATCTAATAGTTCTTCAATAAAATCTACTACTATTAACATGTGACTGCAGTAAGTAACCACTCTGCTAATCTACTGAATTTAAGAATTAAAGATATCTGTATTCTATAAGAATGTGAAGAATATTGCCTACACTCTCCCCCCAAAGCCCAACAGCTCCTCTGTTTCTAATTCCTTGGCAATGCCCAGATTCAGGTGTTCAATAGGTAAAATACCTCAGTTGAAGGGCAGCCCGGTGACATCCCGCGTTTACGCAAGGTCCGGGGAAGGGCCGCACTTCAAGGGGGTGTGATGTAGACATCCTATCCTAATGCAAGCATTAGTGGCTAATTCCACGGCTCGAAACCGTGACCTGTAGGTCACACGAAGACAACTTCACTGTTGCTCCAAGATTCCCCTTCGGGTAAATACCTCAGTTGAGGTGTCTAAATGAAAAATGGTTACAATTTTAAGGGGCCGTCCATGTATTCAGCCTAATTCCTTTGTTGCACTTGGACCGGACAAGATGGAGTAATTAGCTGCTTCTCTGTAATATAAAGTACTACATATGGTGACTCACTAAAATAGTTAATTTGAAGATAGAATTAACTAGACTTCTAAAAGATGGCCTAAATTTTCTGCTTAGTTTTAGAGGATGACGAATGCCTACAACTTGTACTAGTAAACCGTCATTCTTACCATTGAACTAGAACTTGAATAGAAGGCTATTTGGTATAAGAAGCATTGGCAGGTATTAGTAGCTCTAGGCCAACGTTTAGAGGACATCTTCTTCACAAATCGCTTATGACCTATTGTCTTTCCAACAATTAGATGTTTAATCTTATACACTAATCTTAGGTCCTGGAAACCATCACTTGACATGTAAACTTTTTCAGCCTACTGCACTTTGCTTATGATTATAGCCTAATATCAACTCTATAATCTCATGGAGCAACACGAAAACCAGCTTTGTCGTTTGGCCCTGTTCAATATATATGTCACTGCTTCTTTCATGTCGCACCAAGATAGTGGAAAGTTGAAAAAGAAGACATACATAACTTTAAGACCGAATTATACGTACTATCATGATCACATTACATCATATGCAACGAGTGGTATCCGTATTCATCAGCCAAGAACCATTTATCATTAATATTGTGTGCTCAACAATCAGCAGTCCATATAATTGATTATGTTTTGGAAAAAAGGTAAGAGATAGTTTTGAATGCAAAATTGGGATATACAGCTTGCTGAAGGATGAGACTGATAAGCTATCACACAGAAGCATCTATCAGAATTTGTTCTGTTGTGAAAACACAGAAAGGAGATGTACTCCCCATAATAGCAGAACTCTTATAGTCCCTCAATCACTCTTTTATACTCCAGATTGCTAATATTGAATATTAATAGGGATTGGAGATACATTTTTCAGCGCAGTACCAAATGTCATTGTTTGTGACTAGTTAAGTCATTGCCACCAGCCTTTGTATTTCATTCTTTGCCTCTTCTACTAGCAACAAAATGAACATAAACACGAATAAGAAGTCTTGATTTCGAGCACGGGATATAAAAAACTTCTGGGCACACAACTTTTACCCCTTATTAAACCTATCCGGGGCAACAAAATTTTGATCTAGCTATACTATATTTGAAACTTATTTATTCTCACTAAAGAGGTTTTAGCCTAATTGCAATTTGATATACAATTTACCTATTATATACGAAATAATGTATAGTCTCTAATTTTCCTATTTTCTCTTTCCCTCTTTCCCTCTCTCATGCTTGAAATTCTATCTTCATTCTAGTATTTGCCGCTCTAATTCGCTGATTAACCCTCATTATGTTTTCTCTTTCTTTTTTCTTTTTCTAAATGTTAAACAATAAACACCAATGATCACTTCTGAAAGAGGGAAGATCCTTAATTTCTTTTAGTTTTTTTTTTTTTTGTTTGGAATCAGTAAACTAAAGAGTATTAATTAGAAGCGAGCAAATTGAATTAGAAACCTGTTAATCCATTAAAAATTGTATTGACAACCATTAAAGAGTTTCGAAACTTTAAATTCGAAAATTAAATTTTATTTGTTTGGATTGGGTGTTGTTGCAAATGATTAAGAATATTCTTTGGAGTTTTTATCTCAACTTCGAGAGAATTTGGTGAAGATTCGAGTTGATTTTAATTAAAATTTCAAACTGAAACTAAAAAAAGACATGAATAAATTATATATATCCAGGTGTACAAACGACATGCAAAATGTATAAGACTAACATAATTGCATAAAAGATGTACGTAAATTATGCAATTTAACTTCATTCTATATATATATATATAAAATTGTATACAGGTTGTACACAAATTCTATGTAAATTGTATAGCTTTTGACCGGATTCTTTACGACAAAAAATTGTATATAAATTGTAGCTTCTAACCAGATTTGTATATATTATGTAAAACAAAATTTAGTTACTTTCAATAAATAAGAAAACCTAGCTAAATCAGGTGAATAAGTTTAAATTTCGTATATTATACAAAAATCCCCAAGGCAAACCTAATTAGAAGAGGGCCAGTGAAGCTAAACTGGGAAAGATTTACTAATAATATGAAATTCAAAATGGGAAAATTAAAAGGAACGACATACTGAGATTTGAAACTAAACTTGGAATTCTTCTGTAAACTCCCTATGAAACCAGACCGGACGGAGGCATCTTAAATAGACAGGCCCTAGCCACATCGACATGCTGCGATTAGGTAATAGAAAAGTTTCTAAAACCAAACTGACAGATATTTACAAGTCGACTGAGAAACAGGAAAAGAAAGTGAGCTAAGATTTAACTTCTAAATCAAATACCCTTAAGAATGAAATGCAGCTTCTCATACTCAAATGGAAGCCTTTTATCCTATGGGGAAAAGAAGACGCGATGAAAAAGAAAAATACTACAGCAGTCTTGAATGATTTGAGCAGCCCAGCAGATGAAAGACCATCAGCATGCACAGTAAACCAAGAAGCCTTTTGTGAACCATTTCGTCCACAGGCACCGACCTCTTCAAGTGTCTCGCCAACAAACCTACACCTATGATTCAGAAAAATTAGGAGCGGAATCATCTTGCTAGAGTGACAATCACATGCTACTTTCTGTTCTAAGCCTTTTACGAGCGTGATCATAATTATCTCCACTACTTGGGCATTTTGCAATATCAAGCTGTACTTTAACATTGGCCTGTGATAAATCGACTCCCATAGATGCTAGTGTCTGGTTTAAGGTGCTCAGCAACCTGTTCAACAGCAAGACCCAATATGTCACCAAATAGAATCCAAAATCAGTAGCATCATAACATAATGCAGATCAACAAGCAAGTTCGAACCAAAACATGCCACAGGCCCGCAAGGTCCAGAGGGCAACTACTCATGTCAGAATAATATGTACATCAGTTTGTTATTCATTTATTCATTGTAATGAGAAGTCTGGAAAAAGTTAAAGTTAGGCTCAAACCTCAACTTCCAGATAACTGCTTAGTTGGAGGCGGATTCAGAATTTGAATTTGATGGATTCGACTTTTAAAGTTCGTAGCACTAAACTCACTGTACCTTTGAAATATTATGGGCTCAGAATCTATTATTTGTTGCAACTTTAATGATTTTTCTCTCTCACACACACACAAATGAATATATATATATATATATATATATATATTCCGCGTCAAAAATATTGGGTTCAAATGAACCCGTAGCTCAAAAGCTACATCCAGCTCTGTTGTTAAGCATAATACGTGTAGATAAACCTACCTTTCTATTTGATGGCTCAGGTAGAAAAGTTGGGGAGCCATGATATATGCAGGCAAACCGGATTAATATTAGATTGCTTAGGTAAACAAGTTGGGGCACCAGATATGAGGACTTCCTTCAGGCCAACAGAATCTTCTCTGGTTAGGTACTTTATTCACAGAAAAGAATGGAGCCAGTGCTGCAGGTTTTACAAAAAGCCATACCTTGGAGCTCAAACAGGTTACAATTTCTATTAAGTCTACTAGCTAATAACCACGTGACACATTAAGCAAAGCCGAATCCGTTTCATGTGCTTGGCTATCACAGTAGTATTCTAATATGTCCAGTTTTAGGTAAGAAATAACATGACCTAGACTGCCACTAGGCCAACTGGATCCAAGGGACTTAAAGTGATACTACTTCACATGCATGCGTAATACAAGTTTGGTGCCATTACCAAAATTAGCGTAAAAGACATAAATTTGAATCTCCACCTTACCAGAAAATCCACGTCAAAGTTAATTGAAGTCCTGAACAATCATCTTACCTTTGAGAATACACATTTGAGTTGCCAGCTTCTTCACCATCAACTTTCACTTCTTCCTGATCATTTCTACCATAGCTCGGAACATCAGAGTCGATTGCATCCTGTTTACCTGGCCAATATAATGATTGCGGCTGGGAAGCACAATGCTCAGCATCAGGAGACGATCGAGAAGGTTGAATGGACGCATTTTCAAATAGATTACACTGCAGTGGCATGTTAAAGGCAACTGCTTCATTCGCTTCCATATGGGGATCATCTGTATATAAAGCAGCGGTACTCAAGTTCGGTTCTACAGAGTTCTGTGCACTTGTAAGTAACGTCGGGTTAATGACAATATTATCTTCATGAGTAGAGCCATTTCTGATTATTTGAGACTGTTCTACAAAGCCTTCTACAGGCCCAGAAGTGCTTCTCTGTCAACAACAAGAGAAAAACATTAGTTTCACTTTCAGAATAAGCACTACTGCATACATCCTAAAGTTGCGCATCACCTCCTCCTAAAACAGCCTGAACTTGGGTAATTAGGCTTTCAAGGGAGGAAAAAGGAAAAGAAAATGTTAAGCCTCCGTTTGAACCGTAGGCAGGAGTTTCTGATAAAAAAAACAGCTAACATCTGGATTTTTCCGTACTTGGAGAGCATCAGGAATAACTACTGAATTACGAATTTATTGTACAGCAACGGGGCATACAGTACATATTTTTACATTAATTACTGTTCAGAGAATAATATCTGCAGGGAAATTAAAGCACTCACTCAAATGATTTTATATAGACGCAGTTTAATACTCCTGGATCAAACAAATTCTGCTTTCAAATAGTGCACCGATTTCATTATTTTCAAAAATTAAAGATTACTGCACCAAGGCATGTGGTAATGACGAATCTTCTCAAGAAAAAGAATAATAAGAAAGAAACTGCTGTCATTGAAAAAGAAGGAATGACATGTGGAGCAAGTTCCAATTTTCTTTTAAGAGTATTTGAGAAGAGATTTGCCAAGCCAATATACCACTACCACACAATGGTATGCAGGAAAAAGCAAGGGTTTAATACATGAAGCCTTTCCGCTAGGTTTATCGGAATGTCTTGTCACTTTCAAAAATATGACGATTCAAGGAGATGCTGATCTCAAAGAAAAAAGAAAAAGGGAAAAACGCAGAACTACCTGACGAAAACCGAAATTTAGCTTCTTTCTGTAACCAGCAGAGGAGTTGAGAATTGAATGAAAAGTTATGATAGAAGCTTTGCTTTTATAGGCAATAGGCACGATCGCTACAGTCGGTTACCAAAACGGAAAGGGTCTTTTCAAGAATGAAGTCTTAAGAGCGGGAATCCTAATTTCCTTTAAATTTGGAGAAGAATTCCATATCAAAAATCAGTTTAACTAACTCAATGAAGATTGTTATTGATCAGCATCTTCCAAGATTAGCTCGCTAATATTGTAATTATAATAGAAAAGAAGAGGAATTTATCTACTAGTACATTTTTTTCCTAGTAGAATTCTTAAGTCTTCATCTGTATGGAAGTGGAATTGACAGCCGGTGATCCATATCAACGACACAATAGAATCAAAGATTTGGAGCGAAAGTAGCTAGGTCGAATTCTTTTAATAACATGGAAGCTAGCTGATGTCCTTATCTTTTGGGATTACGACAATCAACACAAGCTTTGACTACTAGTAAAAAAAGAATTACTACTAGTTATACAAAGTTCAACTCTTTGAAATTTCAAATGCAAAAGATAACACTAAAATAAAAGGATAATCTCAATATTTAAGGTAACACAAAGGCGGACCCAGGATTCGACGGTCATGAGGGTACCGTTGCATTTAATATAAATTTATCATTGCTCGTAAAGATTGGTACGGGGGCCTCTGTTAATATTTGACTATTTCTTGAAGATATTTGCAATATATATGGAGTTTTTGCCTGAGTTTTCCAGGTACCGGTGACCCATCTCCCTACCTTGTAGTTGTAGGTCCGCCTTTGAAGTGATGTCTACGTAATATTTCCACAAGAATACTCCGTTTGAAATTTTCCAAATTGGATTTTGTTAAATGATAATGGAGTCACGTGCACTTGCATACCAACCAAAGTTTCAGAATTGGTAAAAAATAATTGGATCAGCAGCCCGCTAGGCCCATGAGACCAACGAAATTTAGAGTCTCAATTGCTCCAAGTAAACATGTTGTCTTTATTCGTACTTCAAGTCTAGTCTTTGATGTTTGACGAGTCTTATGTTTACCATGGATTTAAATTAAAGTCCAAATGTTATTTGGGCTAGTCCATTTAGTTGGACTCCAAAATATGAGCCCATTTTACTAGCCCAAGTAATGGCTATTAGCTCATCTTAAAGCCCAACCTTATGTCATGTGTCAAGTGATGTGGCGATCCAAGTCAAATAAATGAGCCAACAAAATCATGCCATATGTCAAGAAAAAGTGGCATGCCAAGTCAACAACCAATAGAATCATGCCAAGTGTGTAGAGCTTGTCGCTGGAGCAATGTGATTGGTCAATTCAAATGGACCAATCAAATCAAAGTCCATCTACACACCAACTCCACTCCCTAGAACTATAAAAAGAAGTCTTAATAAACCTAGAAAGGCATCGGAAGCATAGGCAAGCTACTAAAGAGTGCTCTGAAGATTAACACTTCAAAGAATTCTCCAAAAGCATTGAAAGATTCAAAGCAAAGATCAAGAACAAATCAAGATTCGAGGCGCGACCAAGCTAAAGACTATTTACTCGTAGCATTGAATCAAATATGCTCGTAGAGAATAATTCAGATCATGTTCAAGACGGTGATTCAAGACCAAGTTTTTCAAACCCTTGAATAAAAATAAAAGTTCAACATAATTTATATTTTTATCGGGAAGAATCAAAGGAATATTATAGAGATTGTAACATTTATCATTTTTGAAATCAAATACTACAGTTACTCAATTTTCCTGCCTTTATTATTTTTTTAGACATAAATCTTTATTGTTTACAAAATTTTGCCATGCCCTATTGGTAAATGCTTCATCTTCAAAAAGAAAGTTATGGACGTGGCCAATGAAGGAAAAATCTTGCTAAGGATGAAAATTAAAGATCAAACCAAGTCTCTGTCATTTTTGGTCCGCTGGATCCCACTGTCCTTTGCAACTTGTTGAAGTACATGAATGGGAAGATATCCTAACTGCATCACCACCAAAGATGATTAAAGTCGATGATTTTGAAGCTATGGATGTTAGCACATCATTGTTCCTTCCTATAATGAATGAAGTAATAGCGAGAAAAGATCCCAATTATTGGTTCTATTGTTCTAATCCGCTTATGTTTCAAGAAATCAAACCCAAAGTCAATTCATTCAATAATGCCCCCTCGAGACATTCTGTGTTGGATTTTTCCAACCTTATTTCACCTTCCTTGCTTTCTGTTGAATTTCAATTGGAATGTTAGGGATTTACGTCCTAGATTAAGTCCCAAAGTCCTAAAGTCCCTCCTTTCAATTCAAGTTGACGTAATAGTTTCTATGGTAAAAGTTATTATCCAAATTGAATTTTTTTCCACTTTTTTATTGGCTTCATCCTGAACGTCCCACAACTGATGGGAAATTTGTTCGAAAATAAATATTTATTAAATAATAAAAGCGACATTATCCCTAGGAAAGTGAATCAAGTGCTGACCAAACTGATGATGAAGGTTGAATTCTTGTGGCTTGGCGGAGACGCCGCAAAACAAGTTTATAAAGGGAATTAAGTAAACAATTGACAAGAAGAAAAATGGTGAAAAGGCCCAAGAAGCAACTGGTAAAGAAGAATCTAAAGAAAGTAAAAATGGAGAAGAATCACAATTGAAGGCTACGTCGCCCAGTGATTTGCAAGAAATTTTGTAAACAATAATTTTCGGGTCTAGAAAAATAACAATCAAAACAGGAAAATTGAGTAACAAATATAATATTTGATTTCAAGATATGATGAATGTTACAATCTTTATAATATTCTCTGATTCATCCCAAAAGATATATAAAATATATTGAACTTTGATTTTGATTCAAGTGCATGAAAAACTTGGTCTTGAATCTCCGTCTTGAATGTGATTTGAATTATTCGCCACAAATACCTGGACGAATGATGAACTTTGATTCAATGCTATGAGCAAATAGTCTTTAGCTTCGTCGCGTCTCAAATCTTGAATGCTTGTGGAGAGTTCTTTGAAATGTTAATCTTCAGAGCTCTCTAATAGTTTGCCAATGCTTTTGAAGCTTTTCTATGCTCATGAACACTTATATTTATAGTTGTAGGGAGTGAAGAAGTTGTGTAGATGACTTTAATTTGATTGATCCATTTGAATTGACCAATCACACTGCTCCAGTGACTAGCTACATAGTTGGCACGAACCAAAACGTAACAAGTCAGAAGAACACTACAACTCTCTTCTCCGTCTTTGGGACTACTATTTCTATGGCCCATTTGTTTCAGTCATCTTGTCTACTAAGGTATATTTTGTCCTTTTTTATTTTTCTGATATTTGATGTCTTATAATTGTACTTTTCCAAGACAACCTTTCCCCAAGATTTAGTCCATCTTCTATCGTTGTTGCAAGCTAGGTAGCATTGGCTTAATTACATGTTTCTACCATATGTAATCAAATTAGGTAAAAAAATTGTATCTAATCAAACTTTGATTGTCCATAATCGCAGGTTCAAACGATATTCAATCATCTTAACATCGATAAACAAGTAACCATAGAACGATCCACCAAGATCATTCACGGGAAATTGTATTTTATTCTTTCATATACAAATAGTTATGCAAAACTATAATAATATCGATATTACTCGACAAAAAAATGTACTATTGACTCGACATACACGAGCAACGCACGTGCCGATAGATTAGTATATATACAAGTTAAATTAATGACTTTAACTCTATGCCCAGTCAAATACTAATTAAGAAGGAATGGAGAGAGTATCTTAGTAACGGTAAGTCCACCTTAACCATCTTCGGCCTCAAGGTGTAAAGGAGTTAACAAGGTGCAAAGATTTGACTATAAGTTGGTCATAACCAGAAACAGTCTATAACAAGCAAATGTTGGACCAAAAGCCATGCAAACATTCTGAAGCTCATAGCAGAAAAGCTGGAGATCGTCCTTGAATAAGGACAGAAAACTGCTGTATTGATGCTAATGGTAGTACAACAGAAGAAAACATGATAAAATTTTGTTATATTACCAAGCGAAGAAAGCAACTCAGTGAGCGAGACAGGAACAGGAGAGCTGTATGCAAAATACTCCACATTACTTAAGAGTCTAAAAGTGAATTAAGTATCACAAAGATCTTACCCATGGCATCAACTTCGAGGGTTCTGCGCTCCATCCTTGGTGGGCTCCCTCATACCACTGCAATTTCTCTTGTAAAAACTGGATATACTGTATAACCTGCAATTTTGTATTAAATCCTGAAGCTTATCCTTGTGACGACATTGGTAAACAAGATTGAATAAGCAGCAACATAGGGAAGAAAGTGAAATGTCACAACTCACACCTCTAACAAGAATGAAGCTCTGTCTCTCTTCTGATCAGTTTCAGGTATGAGATTCCTTAGAGCCTGAAATCTGCAAAATATTAAGTCTTGGTCAGCATTGGGAAGGAAATGCTGAAGAAGTGCCTGAAGAGGCAACTAAAATCCACCAAGTACTAAAAAAACCTATAAAACTACTACTGTTATGTATTGTACGAAAACAACACCTAATCATTAAATCATGACCAACAATGTTAGATCCCTTTCTGCAAAATAACCAAAAAGTTATGTGCGCGTAAACCATCTGCAGCCTTCCATGCTGGTTGACTATATTCAGTTTTCTTACTTATAGAGGTATACACAGAAGAGTTCTCAAACATTACAGTGAGATCGTCACAAAATGCCATTTTATAGGCTAACAACCAACTAAAAGGCTAGTTCAACAACTCAGTCAAGTGTCCTACATTGATGGAGGAAATTTGTTGTTGTCCCCTTATATAGTCTTGAACAATTCTCACTTCATGAGCTAGCTCTACGGGTCAGTTAGGCCCATAGTCCATTTCTTATCATAGTATTAGAGCAGACCCATCGCAATTCTCGGTTTACCCAATGAAGGAACCATTTTAACTACGTAGAACTCCGAGCAAATTCGCAAAGGACTTCCTACCACAGCAAACTGGGGCTAAAACTTTTAAGAGAGAAGACCGAATCCGGCTCCAAGAGGCCAATACTAACTTCCGCACTACGCTTATCTCGATTTCTTCAAAACTCCGCAATCTCACCCTATCACCTTAGGTCACCATAACATAATACTGTGACAATTTATTTTAGGACCAATATTGATCCCTTATCCAACCTCCTGCTTTGTAATCCAAAAATTGGTAGTCTAACTAGAACTTGCAAGTGGAGTAGAACAAAACTTGGCCTAAAGTTTGAAAACAACTTCGAATGCAAAACATAGTAATACTAAGCATTGCAACACATGATCAGCAATATTGCCAGGCCCTATGAAATATGAGAGTTTTGCTTCTTTGGGATTAGAGCCATTTTAGGTTGCCCTAAAGAATAAAGATAGGAACACAATCGTCACTGCATGAGACGATGGATGGCAATTTTAAGGACTAGAATGGATCTGGAAAATTGTGCCACTTTTCGATATTTTTCAATACAAGCTAACTGTGATTTTCAATCAATAAGGACTATAAGACAAAAATCAACAATAAACCTATGATTCTGAATGATGATCGTAATCAGGATGATGCCCTACTCGACGTTGGTCGTAATTACTTTAAAAATGGGCATGCGAGAATCTGGCAGACAAAGACAGGCTCAATTGGATTCAAACGGTGGTAAAAATAAGTGTTTGATTGCGAGGATGCGAAGCTAATTAATACATCCTCGGTGATTGACATGTAAGGTGGATTATCTCCTAAATAAGAAATTTTTGACCACTTGTTGCAAAGAAATGAGCAGGTCAAGTTTTTCTCAACAAAGATATATGCTTGCAATTGCATGGACGGAAGATTGTTTAGGCAATCTCCGAAACATATTGAAAATGGGCTCTTATCTCCATATATAGTCTTACCGGTCCTCATCTCATAAGCTAGCTTTTGGGGTTGAGTTAGGCCCAAGATCCATTTCTTATCAAAAGGATATTTTCAAATTTGGAAAGAGCTAATGAACAAATATAGGAGACTCAAACAATGCATTGAGGACTATTCAAACTTTTCCAAATGCAAGCAATAACCATATACATTACACAGATACGAGTGTGGGAGTCCAATACGGCTACAAAATAATACTCACCCCACTCCATATTCTATCTGATCCTTTTTATGTGTTTGTCTAGCCATGAAGTTCAAGATGTTAACTTCATTTATATTTATATTAGCAGTAACAGAAGACCATATAAAGTAATAATTGAAAAGATAATTTAACAACGATTCCATCACATCAAAGTTCAAAACCAAATAAATTTGAATATTTGAAAGCGTACAAGTATAATACTCCCTCTATCTCAATTGATGTGACAATGACACATTTCTATTTCAAACCAATTTAAATTTAAACTTTGTTTTACCCTTAATGAGATGATTTAAAGCTGCACAATGTCTATTTTTTATTCTAGACCACCAGTTTCAAAAGTATTTCTTTCTTTCTAAAACTTCGCGTTCAGGAAAACAGCATCACATAAATTGTGACCGAGGGAGTAATACGATTTAGTGGAATGATGCCATTCATTATAAGATGTCCATAATTGAATAAATAATAGACTTGCCTCTCGTTAATTTTGATCCTCCTTCGCTGCTCCGTCTCAGAATGCTTTGAGCGATGAGAATTTCCCTTCCCATCATTGCTCTTCCCTGTCACCCTCAAAATATCAAACCCCACAATAGATTTTATCAGACAAAAAAATAAAAATCAAATTGCAACAGCAGTTAGCTTTACAATAACGTATCCCTATATAAACAAATGTTGTAGGTTATATACACTGACCATACAATGCTTTTCTTACACCATCAGTGTAATATAATAGTAAATTACTTACCATTTTAGGTTATCAATTAATGTTAAAAATAAAGTTATCTTTAATTACTTTTGAATTTAAGTTATATATACTACCAGTGGAACGTTTTTCTTACACCATCTTGTAATATAACCCATTATAGCAAGTTACCTACCATTTATTCTATGTTACTAATTAATACTGTAAAACAAGGTTACCTGCAATTACTTTTTAAAAGACCAACTTGTGTAAATATGTTTTTGACCCGGTGCATAGAACTTAAACTCAACAAAAGTTAAGTTATATATTACAGTTACACGCTGATAGTGCATTGTTTTTCTTGCACCATCAACTCAATATAATCTGTTCTAGCAAACTTCTTACTATTTATTCTAGTTTACCAATTAATATTATTAAAAAGAGTTACCTGCAATTACTTTTAAAATGATCGGATTGTGTAAATATTTTTAAACCTTATATACACAGACAGTACAATACTTTTCTGACATCATTAGTGTATAACATGTTATAGCAAGTTACTTAAGATTTGTAGGTTACCAATTAATGCTATTATATAGAGTTACCAATAATTAATTTTGAGTTAAGTTATTTAATAAAGGTATATGCACATAACTCTAGATAATAAACATTTTATTAGCAAACTAGAAAATGGTAAGTAACATACTATAAAAAGTTAATTTAGATTGACGGAGTAAACTGTACGTGCATATAACTTAAATACATTACTTTGTAAATGACCTGATTATGTAAATTTATAATTTTCGAGCATAGAACTTAAACTCATAAACAAATACCCTTTTGAGAAGAGCCATCAGGAGTTCTGGAAGAAAACTCCTCATCGTCCTCTTCGTCATCTTCATGGTGAGTTTTCACAGTTCTCACCATTTTGCAATTCCTCAGCGCACAATTATCTGAAACCAAAAGTCTAAATAAGAGTACTTTAATTAAAGAACAAAAAGGATACTGAACTGTTTAGAGTATACGGAGAGACTGACGATTTCGGTGAGGCTCCGATTATCGGAATATATTCTCGAAACCTGGAGTGAATTGATTTCGGAAATTACAAATATGGTATTTGATGAAAAAACATAAAAGAATATGTGTATGTATGATGAAAAACAAAAAACAGAAAAGAATGAATATGCGTGCAGAGCTATGTCGCACAGCGAAATGTTGGAAACCCTAGACAATTAAGTGGATGTTGGTGGGTGCTAAGGTAAAACTGCATCCCATTTATTTTTTTATTTATTTAAGGTAATGTCTTTAGTTACTTCTCTTTTTTATTAATAAAAAAAAATGAGTGATCAACCTGATTACTAGCAAAAAGAAAAAATATTGGCGTTAAGACCATCTTAACGCACCTCAACTAATTCACTAAATGTATGTTACTTTTCAATAATGCAATATAACTTTGTTCATCAAAGATATATAGAAATTTCGACTAATTTATTTATTGGTCTTATTAGTGTCTACAAATGAGCATAAAAAGAATCAACCAAAGATCCAGGTGAGAATTTTGTTTAAAGAAAAACAAAATTGGAAAAAAAGGTTCATTACTTTGATTTTTGTCACTTTAACTTAAAAAAAAGTTAGTTCAGAATACTTACTTATTTAGAAAAATAAAAGGGCATTTCAATTTTATCCTCACTATTCCAGGAAGACATATACTATCAACTACTTATTAAAAATAAGGGTAATTTAATTAAAATTATAATTAAATAATTTTTTTAGTTGGTGTGCCAAAATCTTGAACAAAAAAAGAAAAAGAAAAAAAGATCAATAGAGTATTTCGGATCGAGGAAGTGTGACCAAGGAAAAGGATAACATAGAGTTGGTAAAAAACAATCTTGCTAAAGCATCTTTACCAATTCAGCAATTAAAGTACCATCAAATTTCATTTGCTTACTAGTTTTGTCATTTGGTTCTTGTGTTAGGTTGAATTGTATTGGATTCCTTTTGTCTGGTCAAATAATCTAATACTTGACACATGAAAATACCAAATTATTTAAGTGATCTCCTATCATAGGTCCTAACCAATGTAATAATTGTAGGGATTCATATACAACGGACCCATCGTCTCAAATAGTTTAGAATCAAATATGTGAATTATAGTTTTTGCTCAAGCGCGGAGAATTATATTTTTTGCTCAAGCGTGGAGCTACCTTCAATGGAGGGTTCAATTAAATATCCTTTGTTAAAATATCATACTATGCATAAAAGGTAAAAATAGATTTTTTTTCAGAAAACTTGGAGTTTATGAATTCTTATAACAACCTTAAATTTGTATACAATAATAGTTAGATCCACATGAGCAAAGTTGGTTCAAAATTTGCTTAAGGTCATCGGTTCCACTGCCTTTACTAGTAATATCGTATTAAAAAATCACAACTTTATCAAAGTTAATTAATCATCTAAACTTAAGTTCAAGAAAAAAGCATATCACCAATTTCTTTTTTTCCCTTCAACATACCATTGACAAGATGATTACGGAGGATAAAGGTTACTTCTACTAGTGAAGATAGCTAACTTGCTAACAAAACATACGGTAACTAGGAATGGCAATAGGGCGATGCGGGTGCGGGGCGGACGGGTTTGAACCTATACGGGGGCAAGGCAGGTTTGGGCCCGTGTGGCCTGCGGGGCGGGGCGGGCTCACTTTTTTTAAAAAAAAATATTTGCAGTGCGGGGCGAGGCGGGCTCACTTTTTAAAAAGGTACGGGGCGGGTGCGGGTTCAAATCTTGACACAAAATTAAGAAAGAGATGAATCTATTCTACACAAATTATATTGCTGGCTATTTTAAAATCCAACCCCCTCCCCTCGAACACACCACAACCCCACCCCCACTCCTGAAGAAACAAAAAGCAGAAGATAAATTAACAAGTATACTTTGATAATGAAAGAAGGAAACGCCAAATATCGATATCAGCCAAGATCGAGATCAACCAGGATATAGATCGAACAAGATTGAGGGAAGTAAAGAGCCAAATAATGGAAAGCCAAAATATTCGCAATCAGACGAGAATCCCGGCGAAAATTTCGGCACGTATCAAGAAGAGGCCGATTAATTAGCTAATCATGGGATTTTTTACTGTATTTATAATTGTATCAAGGGTAGGACTCCCCTACTATATAAAAGGGAGTTGATCATTTGTAAAAGGTACCATATTCACGCAATACAAAGCAATATACCACCTTTCTTTTAAGCTTTCAATATTCTGTTACTTTGTTCATATTTTCCAATGAAATATTTATTTGGTTCGAGGGCGACCTAGCTCGAGGGCCAAAAGTTTGCTTTTATTTCTATTTACAGTCAATATCAATTTATGTATTATCTCAATTTATGCCAAGTAAAATCACGTGTCCTCAAAACTACGTATAAATTTAATTGTTATTCGTTTTTTGGGTAAACACATGTTCCAACGAGTTTCTGATTTGATAGTCTTTGTAACCATATGTACCGTTAAGACCTGAATTGCGGCCATCATATAGCTCTTCCTTTGATAACCCAAAATCAGCGACCTATTCAAAGGTAAGAGGTAAATACTAGGAAGATGAAGGTAAGCCGTAAACGTTGATCTACCAGCTAAGATTATTTGCAACGGTAAAATTTCATTAGTGGAAGATGTAGCAGAAGTCTTCATACTGTTGTCACAAATAATTCGTTCACACAACATAAAAATAGTTGCCCCTACTGTGAATTTGTGACCGGAAGTTCCGATGTCTTGATAACTTTTGACCATGAAAGATATGCACTAGAATCAATGCTTACGTCAAATCTATTTAAAGAAAAAAGGCAAATTAACATATCAAATAGTGGTAAAAAGAAAGAAGACAAATTATCAATTAACAAGTCATTTATTAATAATAACTTGAAAGAAATATCAAGCCACAAGAAAGAACAAAAACCAAAAAAAAAAAAAAAAAAAAACCAAAAAAAAAAAAAAAAAAAACTACGCATTAACCCTCCTGCTTGGCTCTGCCATCAAATACATTAGGTATCGAAATTCTAACTTTTTGACAACATCCAACAATTTAATACCAGAACAAGGCCCCTCCTTTGGCTTTCTCTCGCGACGTATATGTTATACACAACTTAAATTCAGCTGCATGTGGCGCATTTGTGACCAGAGGCTCGCAAAAGCAACCTCGCAAAAGCTACTTCAGACTCGCAAATGCAAACCATGTCTGACCCATCCATGTCGTTAATGCGACCAAACATTTGGCAATTGCGAAGTTCCCCAGCTGCCGCTCACAAAAGCAACTCACACTATCACAAAAGCGAACAAAATATCGGAAGCCCGCAGTCGTAGATGCGACTCACATGCTCACAAATGCGAGACCCTCCCCGCGACAACATCCTCGCATATGCGATAGTCGTATCGGCAACCTCCTCATTGCAAATGCGAAGAACCAGAACCGACAATACAAAAACCTTCTGGAACCACCCAAAATCACACCCTGAGCCCCCGAGACCCGTCCAAATATATCAACAAGTCCAAATATATTTTCCAAACTTATCCAAATACTCGAAACACCACAAATAACATCAAAACCAAGAATTGAAGATCAAATTATTGTCGTAACTTTTAAACCTTCATACGTACGTCGAACGCATCCGAATCACACTTAAACATTTCGGATCACAACCAAACTTTGAACACAAGTTCCAATCAACAAAAAAAGCATATACAAGGTCTCAAAACCACAATAAGAGCCCGATAACACCAAAGTCAATTCTCAGTCAAACGTATGAACTATCCAAATTTTTAAGTTTCCAACTTTCGACAAATAGATCTAAAACCTTCTATGAACATTCAAATTCAGATCCGAACATACATACAAGTCAAAAATCACCATATGAACCTATTGAAATCGTGGAATTACCAATTCGAGATCGTTTACTCAAAAGTCAAACCTTGGTCAACTCTTCCAACTTAAGGTCAAATTAAAAATCACTCTATCAAATCCATCCCGAACAACTCAAAAATAAAAATCAACGATGCACGCAAGACATAATACACCGCATGAAGCCAGTCGAAGTCTCCAATCACATAGCGAAATGCTAGAAAAAGAACTCAAAATGACCTGTCGGATCGTTACAAAAGTGATAAAAAGTAAAGTCTATAGACATAAATACGACTTGTGGCACGATACTTTTGTAAATATCCTAGCATTAATTATATGGAGATATGTTCTCATGTGGTAGATGCAATCGCTTTCAGATTTTAGTTTGACAATACTTGAAATCCTTGATATGCGTATAATAAAAACCCTTTAACGGTTTTAAATTATTCTGAAGCACATAAAAGCTCTCAAAAAATTTATTAAATAAAGCTTCAGCAAATCCTTATACAGATTAAAGCGATCATGACGTATATGACTTGTTTTGTGTCTTAGTGTAATTGGTTACTTATATATCTTGCTAGAACCAAGAGTATAATAATATGCCATCGAGATGTAATTTTTTGCCTATGTAAAAATATTAAAATGTGATTAGTTTATGTTATAAAAATATATTATTGATATAGATTTGTTTATTCTAACAAATATTATGAAGATTTTAGTTAGTTATGAAAATGCAATGCATTATCTGAGATCGTTCTTTAAATAATCTATTTGCATGTGAGGATAATGTCATATGATGATATTCTACAAAGCAGTCAATTATTAATACTTATTTCAGTAAGGCCACGATAATAGTAACTTATAAAGCAAGTCAAGAATGTATCTGCTGAGATCAAATTCTGCAACAATGTGGTCTTTCTTTGAAAAGAAGATTCCTGTAATATTAAAGTTGATGGTGTTAAGATAGCTCAATTGAAGAGAATAATATATCGAATGAGACAAAATAAAACATATTTTACCTAAATTCTTTTCAGACACGATCTTCAACAGAATGATAAAATAGATGTTCAACAAATTTATTCAAGTAATAATTTGATGGAATAATGCATTAAGACATTGTTGATCTCAACATTTGAAAAATTGTTATATAAGAGTGGAGTTCCTCGTTTCCGAAATATCAAGTGATACTTTATCAGGGCGGAGTATAACACGCGATGTACTTTTTTTTAAGCCAAGGTTTTATCTCACTAAATTTTTCTGGCAAGATTTTTTACGAGGAAGCAAATAATGTGTATTACAAGATATGTGTACTCTTTTTCTTTCACTAGATTTTTTTCCCATAAGGTTTTTTTCTAGTGTAATGACCGATAGGTCTTTT